CAGATGATTGCCTGCCACCATTAAGCAATTGGTAATTAAATATAATATTTTTTTCCTAAAAGTGTAAAATTTTGGAGAAAAAATTTTCACGAAAATAAATTGTCACGCACAACGAGTCTGTGTGCAAAATGTCAGCTCGATTGGATCACGGGAAGTGGGTTAAAAAACGACTGAAAGATTTGCACGGTCGTAAGCGCGCAAGCAAGCAAGCAAGTGAACTTAATATAAAGGATTTAATAGATGTATGAATACTCTTCGATTTAAAGCTTTCGTGACTGCAGGGATTCATCTTCTTGGTTCTTTCGGTAAAGTCACGTAGAAGGGAAATAATAAAAATAAAACTTAATACATAATTTTATTATGTTTTATTATGTTTAATTTTTATTCTTTTATTATTTCCCTTCTACGTGACTTTACCGAAAGAACCAAGAAGATGTATGAATACTCTTTGGTTCTTTCGGTAAAGTCACGTAGGTGACAAAATGTTGAAAATCACTAAATTAAATCACGTTTCGGAAGCAACGCAAGCCTCCGTTATCAGGTAGCCTTAGTTATTTTAATTGTTTTTTTATTATCATTATTTTTTATTTTCACCTACGTGACTTTACCGAAAGAACCAAAGAGTATGGATCCTGGCAGTCACGAAAACGTCAAATCTAGAATTAGCTGTATGAATATGCACACCCCGCCCCTCCCCCCGTGGATAAGCCCTAATCCGCGGGGTACCACTACTGATGCTACACGAAAAGAAGGAGATGACCTGCGGCAGGACCCTGGGTGCACGTCTCGCCGTTGAGGCTATTATTAAATCCTTTATATTAAGTTCACTTGCTTGCTTGCTTGCGCGCTTACGACAGTGCAAATCTTTCGGTCGTTTTTTAACCCACTTCCCGTGATCCAATCGAGCTGACATTTTGCACACAGACTCGTTGTGCGTAACAATTTATTTTCGTGAAAATTGTTTTTTCCAAAATTTTCCACTTTTTAGGAAAAAATAAATTATATTTAATGACCAATTGCTTAATGGTGGCAGGCAATCATCTGACCCATAGGTGGCAGCCATCTCAAGCCAGAGGACGAGAGGACTCTAGCCGCCACGCATATAAAGGATTTATAGTGAAAAACGTTGTTTTTACGGGTTAATTTTTCTACTGTGTAAATGCGCCGCGTAAAGCGCGCTGTGCAAACACGCAGGCGAGCGCAAGCACGCGGAAACGATGACGGCCGTATAGATGGTAATCTACGCGCACCTCACACACCAACCCCGCGCTGACACCCTGCAGCCCCGCGCTCGCTCTCTCATGCACCCAGCCCCGCACGCTCCACTCAAAAATCACAGACGCCACTCCGAAGTTCACCCACACACACATAAATCACACCACACCGATCTTCTGAACTGAAGTTTATTAATGGCGTGTCTAAAGGAAACTGTGCGGCCCGGAGTAAAAATTCTGCGAGCAGCGCCTAGCCTATTCCTATTCAATCCCTGGGTGTACCCTCACTCTACTTCTCACCTCGCAGACGCACTCACGGTGTCGCACGAACGCGGTGGGAGTCAAAGGGACGAGGTTCCGAGAGGTCTCTGCCTTGGGTCGAGTCATAGCAGCACTCGCTAGCGTCTCTCGGATGCTGCGAGTGACTGGGAGTCAGACCAGGCAGCTGAACGGCTGGAGAACTGCCCGACGTTTTTCCGCTCCCTCCTTTTATGCCCTCGGAATCCAAAGATCCAGGGACACGTGGTGTTATCCTGCGCGGCCAATCGGGCGCCTACCTTTTGATTTTAAACCGATGCCCCGCCCCTACCTGGAGCGTTGCTTTCCATTACGCCTCGATCCATTGTCTACGCCCCGTCCTCCTACCCCGTCCCGCGGAACACACAGCTGCAGTCAATCCAGAAATTTCTCTCCCACCCCCTCTTATGCGCTGCTCGCAGAGTGTTTGCCCTCGAGGCCCTATCTCCCTGTGCTGTGAGTGTCTCATTGCAGTTAGCCCGGTGAGCTTAGTCGCGCCCATACAATTTTAAGCCAATTCACGGGGGCTGCAATGCAATTTGGCCTGGGGGGGGGTCGGCCAATCTCCTGGCAATGGGAAACCGTGGAACATCCTCGCTATGGGACCCTCGGGTAAAAACCCATGGTACCAGGTGACCCCCCCACGAGACCCTACGTGGTGCGTGTGTGTGTGTGTTTAGTGAGGGTGGGCGTGAATTTGTGGGGAGGGGTGAGAGGACGGAGTTGCTCCTTGCTGTGGCACCACTGGTAGAGAAAGAGAGAGACGCAAACTTCAAACGTACAGCAGCAGCAGGCCTCAGGGTCGGGATCGAACCCCCGACCTCCTGCATACCAGGCGAGGTAGTTAACATCTCACCACCGTGGCACCCCTTTAACAAATAAACAAAATACATGAGTTCATGTTACATCTTGAATTCCTAAGCTTGGGAAAAGGGGCATTAAAACGGCAGCAACAGTCCCAGGCCACACCAAAACAACACCGCACAGTCCCTCAATAACAAAACATTGTCACGTTAACATCGAACTCTCAACACGTGGCCAAGGATTCGATTCGCACATCACGTTGGCAAATGTGGATGCATCCCCAGGCACCGATCTTCCGCTTCAGGATATTGTTCGAGGGACAATTCATGATGGTGAGGCGGGAAACAGGGTCGTCGTTCCGAAACGTCGCTGCTGCAGTGGCAAAGGCTTTGCGTCACCTCTTCTGATTCTCGTTCTTGGGATAGTTGAAATGGTAATTAGAGGGACGCCTTCGGATGTCTTGGGGTTGACAATGCCAGGGGTTCATTAATTAGCTAAATTTATCGCGCAGATTTGCCAAGGTGGAATGATTTTATGGATGGCCAGGGCACCCCAGTGTAGATTTCGTCTTGCATGAACTGATGAGAGATTGTATTTTAAGTCGAGGTCACAACGGTGGGTCCTGCATGGTACATTCAGTGCAAATCGACGAGCAGAACGATGAAGCGGCTTTTAATTTGTATTTACCATGGAAGTCCAGTTTACGATGGAAATCCAGTTAACCACGGGAGTCCAGTTTACCATGGAAATCCAGTTCAACATGGAAATCCAGTTTACCGTGGGAGTCCAGTTTACCATGGAAGTCCAGTTTACCATAGAAGTCCAGTTTACGATAGAAATCCAGTTAACCAAGGGAGTCCAGTTTACCATGGGAGTCGAGTTTACCATCGGAGCCCATTTTACCATGGTAATCCAGTTTACCACGGAAATCCAGTTTAACATGGGAGTCGACTTTACTATTGAAGTCCAGTTTACCATAGGAAATCAGTTTACCATAGGAGATCAGTTTACCATGGAAGTCCACTGCTAACCTCAGCAACAATGGTCATTGGCCAGCCCCTTCCCCCCCCCTCCACCCTCCTCCACAAAATCCGCACTGCAGATCCCGGCACCAATGGTGATTCATTCAGAACTGATCTGTAAGCGGCGTCGCCGCGGTTAAGACTTGCTGCGAGATGTGCGATCATCAGTGTTAGAATGTGAACTTTGAACAAATTAGTGCACCCCAGTGTCCAGAAGCACTAGGTTTGTTCAATGATGTTGTTTCTGAAGTCAATAATACGTGAAAGAGAATTAAACTGGATTTACCATGGTAATCCAATTTACCATGGGATTCCAGTTTACCATGGGAGCCCAATTTGCCACTGGAGTCGAGTTTATCATGGAAATCCAGTTTAACATGGGAGTCCAGTTTACCATGGAAGTCCAGTTTACCATGGAATCCAGTTTACCATTGGAAATACAGTTTACAATTGGAGTCTAATTTACCATGGGAATCGAGTTTATCAAGGAAATCCAGTTTAACATGGGAGTCCAGTTTACCATGGGAGTCGAGTTTATCATTGAAATCCAGTTTAACATGGGAGTCCAGTTTACCATGGAAATCCAGTTTACCATGGGAGCCAAGTTTTTCATGGAAATCCAGTTTAACATGGGAGTCCAGTTTACCATAGAAATCCAGTTTACCATGGGAGCCAAGTTTTTCATGGAAATCCAGTTTAACATGGGAGTCCAGTTTACCATGGAAATCCAGTTTACCATGAGAGACTAGTTTACCATGGAAGTGCACTGCTGATCCCAGCAAAACTGGTCATTGCCAGCCCACTTCCCCCCTGCCCCCTTCTCCTCTCTACCCTCCTCCACCAATCCACACCGCAGATCCCAGCACCATCAGTCAATGGCCAGCCCCCCCCCCCCCTTATCTGCAGGCTCCGTCCTCTGCTGGCTCATCGTGCCAGCCTTGGTCTCTAACAGTACGGGTACTGTGGCGGGCACAGGCGGGCAATCTCAACGGGGGGAACGCAGCGTCAAGGGGTGCGGTCGAGCCAAATTTTGTTTTATTTTTACCAGTCTCTGGGTCTGCTCTGCGTGATGAGCCTATGGGTGTTTCTGTGTGGTGAGTCTATGGGTCTCTGTGTGGTAAATCTATGGGTCTCTGTGTGGTGAGTCTATGGGTGTCTCTGTGTTGGGGGGTCTATGGCTGTCTCTGTGCGGAGAGTTTATGGGTCTCTGTGTGGCGAGTCTATGGGTCTTTGTGTGGTGAGTCTATGGGTCTCTGTGTGGTGAGTCTATGGGTCTCTGTGTGGAGAGTCTATGGGTCTCCGAGTGGTGAGCTATGGGTTTATGTGTGGTGAATCTATGGGTCTCTGTGTGGTGAGTCTATGGGTGTCTCTGTGTGGTGAGTATATGGGTCTCTGTGTGGAGAGTCTATGGGTCTCTGTGTGGCGAGTCTATGGGTCTCTGTGTGGCGAGTCTATGGGTGTCACTGTGTGGTGAGTCTATGGCTGTCTCTGTGTGGTGAGTCTATGGGTCTCTGTGTGGGTCTATGGGTGTCTCTGTGTGGTGAGTCTATGGGTCTCTCCATGATGCATCTATGGGACTCTGCATGATGAGTCTATGTGCTTCTGTGTAATGCATCTATGGCTCTCTGTGTGATGAGCCTAGGGGTCTCCATGCAATGAGCCACGCGGCCACGGGAAGAACATGCAGACTCCAAATATACAAGCATCAGCGGCAGGATCGAACCCACGACCACCTGTACACCGGGTGATGAAGATAAAATATGTGTAATGACAATAGAGCCTGCATGTGGTGTGATGTGACTATTGGCCACGGGAGGTAATGACAGGGGAGTCAGCCGACAGTGTGAATGCACTAGTGGCTACGGGAGGTAATGACAGGGGTATCAGTTGTGAGTGAAGAGACTGGTGGCTTCGGGAATGTTCGAGAAGGGGAGCGTGGTCAGGTGACGGAAGAGGATGGTGGAGTCTGCTGGTAGAGTGCGCGTTCAGAGTCAGCGAGAATGATCGAGAAAGGGGGCGTGGACTCGTGCTGATATATAATGGAGATGCACGGGGGACTGGTGGCTACGGGAGGTAACGACAGCGGGAGTCAGCTGAGAGTGTGAAGGGACTGGTGGCTACGGGAGGTAATGACAGGGGAGTCAGCTGAGCGTGTGAAGGGACTGGTGGCTACGGGAGGTAACGACAGCGGGAGTCAGCTGAGAGTGTGAAGGGACTGGTGGCTATGGGAGGTAATGACAGGGGAGTCAGCTGTGAGTGAGAAGGGACTGGTGGCTATGGGAGGTAATGACAGGGGAGTCAGTTGTGAGTGTGAAGGGACTGGTGGCTATGGGAATGATCGAGAAGGGAGCGTGGTCAGGCGACGGAAGAGGACGGTGGAGTCTGCCATTGGAGCGAGCGTCCAATCAGCGAGAAGGATCTGGAAGGGTGCGTGGCCTCCGTCGGTTTTCTAAGGGGGAGATGCGTGGGAGACTCGGGGCTGTTGCATTGGGATTTCCGCCTAATGTCAAGTGAACGTGTCTTCAATAAAGTGCCATCTCAAGAGACGTGTTTCAAGTCGTCATTACATATGTAAGGGGGTGAGGCGGTAGAGAGTCCTCTCCACTGCTTACCTATATCAGAGGACTTGGAACATCTTAATCCGCTGCCGCCCTTTTCCCATCCTATGAAACAAGTGTAGAACAACGATATTGTACAGTATTCCTATGTTCCCACTCATGTGCTCCTTAACAGGTTTCTAATTAGAAATTTAGTAGTTCTCGGGGAGGCACAGGACCTGTGGATATACAGCAGGCCCAGGACCGCCGGTAGTCAACATGTCCTAGTCACGGTGGCTAGGAGATGATAACTACCTCACCTGATATACAGGAGGTCGTCGATTCGACCCCGACTGTGACAATGTCTGCTGTATATTTGGAATTTGCATCTCTCTTCCCGTGGTCGCGTGGAATTTTTCTCCGAGTCCTCCAGTTTTTTCCCTCCATATTAAGAAACACGCATGAAGAGTAGTTGGCTGCTGCCACACATTTCCACGTGCTGATCAACTTTGTTGAGCTATAATTTGTGATGGCCAGGTCGCTTCTGAAAAAGAGCTACATAGCTAAATGGTGGCCCTTACACCTGGCAAAATAAATAAAAAATAGTTTTAGTTTAGTGCAACGCGCAACGAACCTGGCAGAGACCCGAGTTCGACTCCCACTCATGGCCACCACAAGTGATAGCGATTATCTGAACCGGTCCTGGGCCTCCTCTGGATCGACTCAGCCTCAAATGAAGAACTCTTACCAGCAAATCCTAAGCACAGCCTTTGTTCTCGATACAACAAATGATAACGTTCGCAGTGTGCGGTTTATTCGGAATGAAGCCAACTTATGATGTCCCATATATCCACATAGCTAGTGAAGAGCAGGAGGGTTAGTGGTGTGGTTATTAATCAGACTATTTAATTACACTGGAGGAATCCGATGAGCTAAAAAGCACTTTCATCACAAATGTCCAGTAGGGTCACGGAATAAGGACGTTACAACAAACCAGGTACAAAATCACGATAGTAGTTGTGCAAAGCACAAGCCAGATAAACACAACATCACCCAGACACATACAAAGACTGTACAACACTAAACCATCCCCATCCTACCAGGCAAAGCCCACACAGGTTATTAACTTATTGTTCAGAAGCGACCTGGCCACAAATGACAGCTCAACAAAGTGGCTTATCGTGTGGAAGTTTATAGCACCACAATACTCTAAGCAATCTCAATGCACGATATTAAATGTGGAGGGAAAAACCGGATGACCTGGAGTAAAAATCCACGCGACCACGGGGAGAGAGAGAGACGCAAACTCCAAATATACAGCAGCAGCAGGCGTCAAAGTTGGGATCGAACCCCCGACCTCCTGTATACCAGGCGAGGAAGTTAACATCTCCTAGCCACCGTGGAGACCCTTAAATACATAAACAAAGTCTATAACTTAAAATTGCATCCTCAATACCCAAGCTTCGAAAAAGGGAGCATTAAACAACATCAAAAACAGTTCCAGACCACACCAAGATCACACAGTCACTGAATAGAATTGTACATTAACATCAAACTATAAATACATTATTAATGTGAGTCTGTTACCCGAATTCCATCCGCATAGCCTCTAAACATCAGGAGTCTTAGCGGTGTGGAGTCTTTTTACCTGAATCATAATGGACAACTCGCTCCGTCGTGTAAGAGCTCGATTCGAAGTCTTCTTAAGCCATTTATTTTCATTCAAATTGCGGCCCAACGTTTGGATGTAGTTGTTCCAGCACCATTGGTAGTGTTCACCAAGCATTATTGCCAATCCAACCCCGTTATTTCTGAGGTTCCACAGCCCAATTTGATTCCGCTTAATGTTCTCGAAATAGAGTTTGCAAGCCCAGATTTTCAAAGTGTGTCCTTTCCCCATCAGCTTCTTGTTATACCAATTTAAGATCTTTTCAGCGCAATTTGCACACGGACTCCAGGATGAGTACCAATTTATCGTGTATTTTCCAGGGTTTTCGAGCAGGTACTCTTTGACTTTTTTAATGCAAAAAATTTCGGCGTGATATCCTAGGTCTGCCTCGCTCCGTGGTTTATTCACAGCATAGCCCCAAAAACGGACGCGGCTATTCTGCCGTTTTAATTCAAAGATAACGTAGCATATATGCGACTTGGATCTTTTAAAGTTTAAAAACTGCGTCCTAAACGTGCAGCTGTCCAACTTCTCGCCGACTCTCACGTACTCAGCGTTGGCCATATCTCCTGGTATCTCGACTCAAGGCCACCAGCAAGACGCTCGCTAATACTCTTTGGTTCTTTCGGTAAAGTAACGTAGGTGAAAATAATAAGAAAAGAAAATAAAAAGTAAAAACAACAAAAAATATTATTTTTTTCACCTACCTGACTTTACCGAAAAAAACAAAGAGTATGGATCCTTGCAGTCACAAAAACTTAAAATCTAGAACGCTGGCTAATGTCAACTCTGAACGCAACCCCCCCACCCAGCCACCTTCCTTATATACACGGCTCTGCCGTGTCACCTACTGCCCCCACCTGCGTAAACGGTGGTCGCGTCACTGGGTTTCAGTTTATGTCGTAGAATCGTGCGTGCATCACCACCAAATCATCAGCAATGCGCCCCCTCCCCCGGGATGGTTTGAGCCGCTTTAGTGAAATGACAGGATACACGGAACTCGTACGAGATGGCATAACTCGATTAGATTCCAGGCACTCTATCTCGCCCCTCTCATCTCACTCCACTCCGCTCCATGCACTCACCTGCCTCTGCCCTCTCATCTCACGCTATTCCCTACCTGTATTTATTTCTATGAAATTTGATACCTCTCCCTCTATACAGAGACCCATAGACTCCCACGGAGAACGATAGACTCACACCGAGAACTATAGACTCACACCGAGACCTATAGACTTACACCGACACCCATAAACTCATACTGATACCCATAGACTCACACAGATACCCATATGTTCAAACCGAGACTCATAGATTCACACAGAGACCTATAGACTCACACAGAGACCCACATACTCATAGACTCACTACAACAAGACCCACAGACTCACATATCGACCCAGTGTCTCACATAGATTATCATCTTGACGCACGCAGGTCAAACGCGACCGTGCCTATCGTGTTTGACCTTCGTCGAACAATGGTCAAGGAAGAGATAAGAACGGAAAAACCCCCACACCAAAAATGCACCTCTAAGTCAGTCAAAATTGCATTCACGCCTTTGAAGAGCCCTCCCAGCCGGCTTTGTCTCTCAAATTGTGCGCATATCACCTGCACCACCATGACCAGAATCACAAAATTGTATTCATACCGCAGTAGGAATCCGATGAGCTAAGCAGCTTTTTTTTAGCAAAGGGGCACGGGGGTCAGAATGTCACACCAACGACAACACCAACAAACAATGCAACAAAAATCCCCACGATACGATCGCAAAGTACAAGAAAGGTTTAAACGAGTCACTCGCAGCGTTGTATAGTAGAGGCGCCATTACATTCGATGGGTGTCGCGCACGCACGCGACGTCGAGAGCGAATGTGCGACGTCGCGTGCTCGTGACACTACTCTACTATGCACTATACTACTATACACTATACACGACACTATTATACACTACACTACTATACAGTACACTATACACTACTATACACTACACTGTACACGAAACTACACTATAGATTACACCACTATATACTACACTACTATAAACTACACTACACTATTCACTACACTATATATTACACCGCCATATACTACACAACTATACACTATAGTATACACTACTATAAACCACTATACACTACAATGTATGCTACACTAATCTACACTATACATTCTTCTTCTTCTTGTTCGTCCATCAAAGTTGATGATGACCATGGCACGTTTGTCATTTTGTTGGATTTTGATGAGTGCGCAGATGGCTGAAGAGGCCAATCCGAGCCCGGAATTCCCTGTGGCACACTGGACAGGTCAGGGAGAATGCAGAGCTCTGAGGTGCAGCCACACGTCCTTCCTTGGTAGATTTGCGCTGTTGCCTCTTCAAGATAGCACAGGAGCGTCTCCTACTCTCACAGAGGACTGCACCGTCCTGTACTTTTCTTCTCCAGGCAGGTCAGTCCTGTGCTAGGGATTCCCAGCTTTTCAGGTCGAATCCAAAGCTCTTCAAGGAAGCTTTAAGGGTGTCCTTGTAGCGCTTTTTGGGGCCACCTTGTGCTCGCTTGCCATTCCTCAGCTCGCCAAAGAATACTTGTTTTGGAAGTCTCATTCTGGTCACGTGGCCAGTCCATCTAAGCTGTTCCTTCGCAAGCAAGGTGTAGATGCTGGGGATATTTGCCTTGCTGAGGACTTCCGTGTCAGGGATTCTGTCTTGCCACTTGATCCTCAGCAGTTTCCTCAGACAGCTCAAGTGGAAATGATTAAATTTCTTGGCATGGCGCTGGTAAACTGTCCAGGCTTCGCACCCATACAGAAGAGTTGGTAAGACAACAGCCCGGTAGACCTTCAGTTTTGTCTCCTGCTTGATGCCAGTCCTTTCCCATACCGAGTCACGTAGACGTCCAAAGGCTGCACTGGCCTTGACAATCCTGATGTTAACTTCATCATCTATGTGCACAGCGCGAGACAGTGTACTACCAAGGTAAGTAAACTTGTCAATGGCTGAAAGCTTTTGCCCATTCACAAAGATGGTTGGCTCAGTGTAGGGTTTCCCAGGAGCAGGTTGGTATAGGACTTCAGTCTTCTTTGTGCTGATTGTTAGGCCGAAGTTGTTGCAGGCTGAGGAGAGGTGGTCCATACTGTCCTGTAGATCTTTATTTGAGTCAGCAGCCAGAGCACAGTCATCAGCAAACAAAAGTTCTCGAACAGTGATTTCCTCCACTCTAGTTTTGGCTTGCATACTCCGCAGATTGAATAGCCCACCGTCAAAACCAGGGGTCCTCAAACTTTTTAAACAGGGGGCCAGTTCACTGTCCCTCAGACCGTTGGAGGGCCGGACTATAGTTAAAAAAAAACTATGAACAAATTCCGATGCACACTGCATATATCTTATTTTGAAGTGAAGAAACAAAACGGGAATAAATACAATATTTAAAATGAAGAACAAGTAAAGTTAAATCAACAAACTTGCCAGTATTTCAATGGGAACTATGGGCCTGCTTTTGGCTAATGAGATGGTCAATGTCCGGTTCCATATTTGTCACTGCTAGTCGTAACAAGTGATGCAAGTGTGCATCCATTAGTCTAGATCTGGTTGGAGATTTCAAATGTTTCATTCTGGAAAAAGTCTGTTCACAGACATAAGTGCTGCCAAAGATGGTTGCCATTTTGAGTGCATGGTTCCTGAGATGAGGATATGTCTCAGAGGGGAGAGATGCATAGAAATTATGAAGGCTGCTTGACTTGAATGCGTCTTTCAGAGAGTCACAATTCTGCAGTTCAGCCAGTTCCATTTGGTAAATTGTATCCACATTTTCAATGTCAATAGAAAATGGGTTACGGAAAAGCTGTATGTCCTGTTCATGGAGATGAAGCTCTTTAAATACAAATTGGAACTCCTTTTGCAATTTTTCCAGTGAATCCACACGTTTTGTTTGGGAATGCAACCAATGGTTTTTCCGCTAACAGATTTTGAGTTGTGGGGAGATGGCAGACGTTTTCCTCCTTCACTTGTTTGATGAGGAGGCCTAATATTACTTCAAATGCTTTGACATGTGATTGCATATCACAGATGAGCTTCCCCTTTCCTTGAAGTTGCACATTGAAACTGTTGAGTAGCTCTGTTACATCTGTCAGAAAGGCAAGGTGCCATTTCCATTCTGCATCATTGAGCTCTGGTACTTCTTTGTTATTTTTAAAGCAGAAAAGCTGTAATCTGTGGAAGTAAGTCATAGAAACGTTTCAAAACTCTCCCTCGACTCAGCCAACGGACTTCTGTGTGATACAGAACATCTTCATAGTCAACATTTAGCTCAGACAGAAATGCCTGAAATTGTCTGTGGTTTAGTGCATGAGCTCTAATGAAGTTAACACAAGATACCACAAATTTCATAACCGAGTCCCACTTCAGTGATTTACTACACAGCGATTGTTGGTGGATGAGGCAGTGTATGGCTATTGGATGAGAATGGTTATGTTTGTCCATCTCTTGGTTAATGCGAGCAATTACTCATTTCTTAGACCCCACCATGCTAGGAGCACCATCAGTTGTCACACTGGCTAGTTTAGCCCAGTTCAGCTCCAAACCATTCACAGTTTGGCAAACCTTTTCATAGATATCCTCTCTTCTTGGTTCTTTCGGTAAAGTCACGTAGAAGGGAAGTAATAAAATAATAAAAATAAAACATAATAAAATAATTCTCACGACGTTTCGGCCACAACGCAAGCAGCCGTCCTCAGGTGAAAGCCAGGTCTGTCGGGGAGACAGCGTCTGAATGAAACAGCACACGAGCTTGGAGCATATATAAGCTGGGTTGGAAACGGGGGAAAGAGCGCCTTGACAAATAATTTGCATATCAAGAGGAATTTAGCATATTTATGGGACATGCAGGAATGTTATTAGTACTACATATGCAGCACGAGCATATGTAGTACGAATCACATTCCTGCATTTCCCATAAATATGCTAAATTCCTCTTGATATTGAAATTATTTTGTCAAGGCGCTCTTTCCTCCGCTTCCAACCCAGCTTATATATGCTCCAAGCTCGTGTGCTGTTTCATTCAGACGCTGTCTCCCCAACAGACCTAGTTTTCACCTGAAGACGGCTGCTTGCGTTGTGGCCGAAACGTCGTGAGAATTATTTTATTACTTCCCTTCTATGTGACTTTACCGAAAGAACCAAGAAGATGAATCCCTGCAGTCACGAAAGCTTTAAATCGAAAGATATCCTCTCCTGTAGTTGTTCCTTTGATGCTTTGCAGTGCAGCAAGCTCTTCTGTGACTTCAAAATAGTCATTCGTCGCACGAATAAAAATTTGAAGTTGTGCAGAATCACGAACATCATTGCTTTCGTCGAGTGCCAAGGAAAAATAGGAAAGTTTTTTTGTGGAGTTTTGCAAATGCTGATGCAAATTGTCTCCCATTTCTTCAATCCTCCGTGTAATTGTAGGTCCTAAAAGACTCACTGTACTAAATAAATCGGCCTTCTCTGGACACATCTCTTTGGCAACAGAAAGAAGGCATTCTTTAACAAATTCTCCCTCCACGAATGGTCTGCCAGTGCATGCTATTACCTTGGCAACTTGAAAACTTGCTCGCAGTGATGAAATATTTAGCTGCTTCTGCTTCACAAAACTATTTCGCTGAGTTGTTAATGTATTTTTCAGTTTTAATATTTTATCTTTTCTCACTTCTCCGACCAAACAAGCATATTTATCTTTATGTTGAGTTTTATAGTGTTGACGTAAATTGTATTCTTTGAACACAGACACTATATTCTGGCATATCAGACACACATCTCTTTCCTTGTACTGTATGAAAAAGTAATCATAAGTCCACTGTTCTTTGAATATCCTACACTCCGAGTCAATTTTTCTCTTTCTTGACATCATTGTTTCCTAGGGAGTCAAAATTGCTATTAGTAAAATACCAATATATATACAGCGCTACAAAAACAATATACCAGTAATAACTTTGCCCACACAGAGACATACAGACTGCACTGCCCATCAATGCAGTCTGATTGGGGGAAACTCCGCCCCCTCTCCCTCTTCCACCAATGACCGTCCTTCTCATGCAGAAAAAAAGTAACAGACAGGCAGCGGCGGCAAAAACACCCGGCGGGCCGGATAAATGTCCTCGGCGGGCCGCATGTGGCCCGCGGGCCGTAGTTTGAGGACCCCTGGTCAAAACGGTAGATGAAGTTATTCCCAGTGTTGTGGTTCTGGAATGAGTCTTGCAGCATGGCAGAAAACACCATGCTGAAGAGCGTTGGCGCTAAAACGCAGCCTTGCTTCACCCCGTTTGTGATTGGGAACGGATCAGAGAGTTCTTGCTGGTCTCTGATGCTGGCCATCATGCCATCATGGAGTTTGCGCATGATGCCAATGAACTTGTCTGGACACCCATATTTG